CTTAAGAAACAACTTTAACGAAGGCCGAACGTTGCTGAGAAATACTGCCAGGTGATGGCAGTAATAAAGCCAAGGTTTATACCCGGAAGCTGGTACAGGGAAATTGATGAATGGCCGAGTTGATACCTACCTCATTTTCCTTTCGTGAGAGAAGACAAAGAGGCTACCAAAGTGAGAATAGTTTACTATTCTGCAGCCAGATACGGCGGAATAATCCATAATGGTAAAAAAACTGCAGCATGATGTTTTCGATGTGTTATTGCTTTTCCAAAGTTATTCTGGTAGCAGATCTGACGGAGATGTTCTCGCAAGTTACCATGGTAAAGCAAGACAGACGGTACCACCGCCATCTGTGGAGAGGGTTGGACCTCTCAAGACCTCCCGAAGTCTACGAAGCAATGAGATTGATGTTTGTTTACCGCTCCTCACCTTGCCTTGCCCAGTACGTAGTGCAAAAACATACAGAAGACAACATATATGACTATCTGCTAGTAGTAGCCATAATCCTAATACAGATAAACATGGAGGATAAAGCTATAAAGGCTAGAGACAAGCTTAAAATGATCAGATTGGGATAATGAGTTTCCCAGTGACTTAAAGAAGAAGCGTCAAGAGTGGTTCAGTCAGTTACCTGAGTTTTCCGGAGTTAAAGTTTCAAGGTGTCATTAGGGCTGTTTATACGGGAGAAAATAAGCCGCGGCTATATAAGACGCGAAAAGGAAACATTTATACGAGTACGGCTTATATTAGACGCGAACTGCTCGTATAAATGGTTCACGGCTTAGTTCGCGGCCAGATCGGTCCAATGATGACGTAGTTTGTTTTGGTGCCTCATTTAGGGGTAATTGCGTTTGCGTCTCTCAACAATGGTTCGGGCGAGCAAAAAAGCTAAACGACTGGCTTTGGCCCGTAAAAAACGCTGTTTTTCTTCACTGTTTTTTTCATTTTAAACTGTCTCTTCGGTCAAGATTGGTGTTGGGTTCACAGGTAACTAATTGGTCAAAGAAAATTGGTAAACTTATGCGAAAACCCCGACAAAAGATTCGGCATCGATCCGTTGAGTGGTTTCATCGAGATGTCCCCGCAATCTCAAGCTCGCTGCATATGAGCAGGATTTGTATTTCTTCTGGGGCACTCCACACGTTTCTTTGTTTTTACATGAATCTCTATCCGCCATTTTCCACTTTGTAAATGTAAACAAAACTCATTTCCTCGCCACTGCAACGCGCGTCTCTCGGCCGTGAAGGTCTGGGATATAATTGAAAACAGAGCATGCGCAGCAGTCGTTCACGGCTTCAGTGAGCCGCGGACAACGTTTGAGTGCATTTATACGAACACTTTCACGTCCAAGGTAAGCCGCGGCTTGGGTAAGCCCATACCAAAACCTCCCCGGCCAGGATAAGCCGCGGCTTGAGCTGGCCTTGGGTTGAATAAGCCGTGAACATAGATTTTGTACCATTTATACGGGGTGTTCGCGTCTTATGTAAGCCGCGGCTATAGTAAGCAGCTTATTTTCTCTCGTTTAAACGGCCCTATTGTATTGCTGAGAAAAATGTTGTTGCCACATCTATTCAAATAATGGTAGACGCGTTGTTGTTGGCATACGTTGCTGTGAGTAACGTGCTGCACAAATATGACGATGGAGAGGTGACTGTGCAATTTATTGCAGCGAAGGTTGCACCTACTAAAGCGACATTAGTTCCGAGGTTAGAGCCCATAACGGCAGTGTTGATTCTTAGATTGGAAGGACGGTGTCAGAGCTGTTAGAGATTCCCTTTGAAAACTGTACACTATGGACAGACAGTAAGGATGCCATTTTCTGGATAAAGGGCCAGTCGAGGAGGTACAAGACTAAAGTCGTCAACCGGGTATCAGAAAATCAACAGACTTCTAGCCTCAGACAGTGGCGACACTTTCCAACTAATTTGAATTGTGCGTCTGGTGCGACTCCGGGGCCACACTCGGAGGTGAGAAGTGAGCATCGCAGGTTAATGCACCTGAGTTCCTGTATGAGCATAAAAGTGACTGGCCTCAAGGAAAATGCATAGTGTATGAGGAGCGTTCAGAAGAGTGTCTTGCTCAGATAGTTAAACCCTTGGGTTGAAGGTTTCACAACCATTGATGAATCGGACTAAATTACGCCAGTTGGAACCGACTTAAAAAGTAATAGCGTGTGTGAGACGATTTGCTGATCACTTATTGGCCACGTAAAGAAACCATGCAATCGTTTGGGTGATTAGGATTGGAGCGAAGTTATATTGACTTCAGGTAAATAGACAGAGCTGCAAAACTGTGGTGAAAGAAGCAAAGGAGGAAAGATTTCCTTAAGATATAAAAAAATTAATTTGAGGTAAAGAAGTCAGAAGGAAAAACTCCTGAAACCTATTACGCCCCTCTTGGATTAACTAGGCATATTACGGGTCGGAGGGCGGCTGGAGCAGCCAGAACTACCTTATAGTGCAGCACACCCCATGTACATGCCAAGGGAACATTACATCACCCAATTGTTGGCGAAGTCCACTACCGTTGCCATCATGCAGGGGAAATCACGTGCTAACTCAGGTACGAAATCAATACTGGGTCATAGATGATCCGAAAGAGGTGCAGAATTCGGACAAAGAATGCAAGGTGTGTGAGAGAAGACGTGCCCAGCCAGCAGTGCAGATCATGGCGCCGCTTCCAAGGTGGAAACCTGAAAAGAGCGTTTGCAAAATTCTGTTTTGATTACGCTGGGCCCCTTACAACCAAGATTACACAAAGATTATCTGCTAAAAAAGAATATCTGTGCCTTTTTACTTGCTCTCCAAGCAGAGCGGTACAGATTTGCTGAATGCGTCCAGCCGAATGGTAGCTACTAGGGGACCGGACGAAGACCTTACAAAATCACAAGTGATAATGAGACAAACTTTGTAGGAGCGGAGAGAGAGCTCAGAGAACTTTTTAAAGCAAAGAGACCAAGTGCAGATCGAAGATGATACTCCCAGCAACGGGATCAAATGGAATTGAAACCCTCTGCTGGGGTCTCATTTCAATGGGGGTTTGAGTCGCAGGTTAAAGTAGCTAAGAAAACTCTGAAGGTAACAGTTGGAAATGCAGGGCTAACCGATGCGACGAAGAACTGCAAACTGCTAAAAAAAAAGTAGAATAAACTTGATAAACTTGAGACCATTGACGTATGAAGGAGCTGCCCCCGAGACGAGCCAGTGTTCACTCCTAACCATTTCTTAGTTGGACAGTTCGGAGGACAACTAGTGCCTCAAGTTACTGACGATATGGCGTTTAGCCCCAGGAACCGTTAGAGACGTATTTAGAACTTGGTGACAGTGTTCTGAAGGCTCTGGGGAGAAGAGTTTTTTGGCAATACTTAACACCCAAGCAAAATGGAGAGCGGCGCAGGAGAATCTGAAAGGTGGAGAGTTCGTGCTCGTTGTGATCAGAATGTTCCACGTGGTCAGTGGCAACTTGGTCGAATGGTAGAAGTTTTCCCGGGTCAGGATGGACAGTTGCGCGTATTCCAAGTGAGCACAAGGGGTAAGTAGTTTATCCACTCAATGACACCCGTTGAACGTCGCTGGTCAGACAGAGTACGTGACATAAAGAGAAGATCTGGACAAGCGATCAACTTGAACTTGCTTGTTGTTTTGTAAATTCCAGGTACTACCTCTTGTGGGGCACTGAAAAAAGTCGAATAAAGAATTTTGTAAACAAATGGAGAAGTGACTGAAGTGTTCTGTTTCTTGAACCGGGTATTGAACAGAATTTCTCGCGCTTAAGAATATCTACAGCTCAGGGATTAGTCTTTCTTTCCCTGTCGGTCCGTTGTATTGGGAATATAAGCCTTCTATGTGCTTATAGGTGTAGTTGGAGACCGGTAAATATTTTTTTGGGCCAGAGCTTAGTCCTTCCCTGGTGGTAGCGATGCTATCACACAGGTTCTCGTTCAAATGTTTTTTTTTTTAATTCATTAATTTTTAAATTTTTCCTGATAGCATATAATCATAGGTTTACAGGTGTCACAACAGGGTCTGGCCTTGCGTTCAAAATGTTTGATTTGTGATCAGTAACGATGTTGTCTAACCTAAATGCCTTTCACGGTTTTAGGCTTGATATACTGGCTTCCAACACCTCGTAGTTGAAAGCTTTTTGAAGCCAAGTCTTTCGCTGTGTTTCTTACCATCCAATATGAACTTTACATGTTTGTTACCAATTTCCCATTTAAAAGGAGTTGGTGAGCTACTTTACTTTCATTGACTGAAGGTTTAAAAGAAGGGTGGAAAGAAATATTCTTGACTGCTTGGAAAGGTCTACACAATTTTTTCCACTCATATTGACTTACACCCCCTCCCCCATCACTTTTCTGATAATGCTTCCCTAACTCGGTCCTTTCTTGTCCGTTGCAATCGATTCCGCCATTACCTTTTGAGTATGTTAATAGCAAGGGTTATCGCTTCCCATTAATTTAGCCTGGGTTCAAATCCCGTCGTCGACGCCATATGAGGTTGATTTTTTTGTTGGCTCTTTCCTTTGGTCCAAGAAGTTTTCCAATTTTAATTCCAGTTTAATCAGGAATAGTAGACGAGGAATCACTTAACATGATGTGGATGTGCTACCACTAAATTGTTATATATTTGTCATTATTCGTTATTTTTATTCGACAGCCAAACCAAATGAGAAATTTTCCGAGCTCATGACCATCATTAAAACTAACTTAATGACCTAATAACAGGCACTTTGTTACTACTTAGTACTCTGTTTACTTTGTTGCGAGAGAGTCAACATCAGTGATGCGCCAAGAACAGGTGAGGGGTGGATTGATTAGCAGCATTGATATAAGGCTTTTGCATTTGCCGATTAAAATTTGTTATTGTTCTCAAGCTCAAGAAAAGTAAAAAAAATCCAAAGGGCAGATACGACGGCTATACTCACATGATGCAAATCAGGTCTACTTGAAAAGACCACCATCTTAATTTTATTATTATTATTATTATTTACAGATGTCAATGCAAGGAAGAGTTTTCCTTGGATTAATTTTGGTGTCAGTGTGGACAGTTGAAGGCAAGTAAAATTATGATTTGTTTGTATTGTCCTCTCGTATGTTTCTTCTCTTTGTTATGTAGCAGTAAGGTAGCTTGTAGTCTAGAACAAAATAAGTCATCAAAACTGACGTGTTTATATGGGCAATCACATGAGTTTGAGTGCAGTTGATATTAGATGTGCTCGAATTAATTTGTGGTTGACAAGCAAAGTGTTGGTATAAATTGACATGTTCTACGCCAATCGAAATGCAGAAATTGTTGTTATACATTACATTTAACAACATTACTCCAAGTGTGCTTGTAGCATGTAGACCAGCCGCTACCATAATCCGTCTGGGAAATCTATCAAACATAAACCCTATTTCATTTTCATCAGGTATTTACCTATTACCAACTCTTTTTATTTTCTCTTTCAAAAAGTTGTCAGATATTTTAGGACGGGTTACTCAGTCCATTCAAATAATTCCAATTACTAAACAGCGAGTCTTTCCCTACTAGCCTACCTTTCATACCCTTGCTGTAAACCAAACAAGCTTATTAATTAATCCCTGGACGACCGCTTTGGTCGTTTTCGTTCCATATGGAACGATGTATATTTTCCTTCCTGGACACATTTAGCTTTCAGTTTAAGTTAAATTGGTAAGCAATAACGTCAGCAAAGATAGATCTTTCCAGCCACACCTCGTTTTGGATATTCTGACTAATTTTAACAGAGTTACACTCACAAAAAGTTAACTTTTTGGGGAAAAATCCACTGCCAATTTTGTGTACCTACTACTCTTTGAAGATTAAATTTGTCCCTTTTCTAAAAAGTTGGCTAGCCACAATTCCATGCAAAGGAAAGAGGATAAAGTGGGCCACAAAACTGCTAATAAAGAAGAAAGGCAAAGGAAAAAGAGAGCGAGAGAGAAAGATCGAAATAGATTCGGAAAAAAAAAAGTCACCTTTTGGCTAGTGGGCATGCGTGAAAAAAAAAGCTGTCTATTTACGTCCGAGTAGTCGGAAAATATGCTTTTTTTGTTGCATTCTTATGCTAATTAGCCGAAAACTAGTCTAAAGAAGAGGAACTGGTGAGAAATAATGCTGTTTTTCGCTACTCGTCGTCCGTCACCAAATGGTAAAGCATAATCAGTCAAAACGTCCTTAATCATTCAAATCATAGTAAATTAATTTCCCTTATCCTGAAAACACAACGTCAACAAATAATATGCCTTCAAATATAACTGTGAGGGGAGAGTGGATATTTTGTTCTCAGCGGTTGCGTTTGATTGGCTCTTTGTGAGTCTCTGTGTTTGCCAACCAAACATAATGCATTGATTACTCGTCCCTTTCTTTACTGAATTGCTTTGTCTTTCTGCCTTGTTTTTTTCTCATTACCCATGGCGTTACTTTTTATAGAGCCGACACTCAGACAAACAATATGAAATTAGCTTTAACGAATTCCTCTTTGTTTGTCTTTTGTCATAAAAATATAAATGTTTTTCTGACTCATTAAAATAAGAAAAGTGACAAAAGTCAAACAAACGTTGCGAATTAGTCATTCTGAAGTCATTTTTGCGATGTGCTTATCGTGAATGATAGTAATTAATATAGCTCACGATTACAGAATCAAAATACCTAAGGACACGATCGATCATGAGATGACTTTGCAAGTCATCATCAGCCGATATAATAGCGAACAAAAATCAATTCTCTTCTGATGCTACGGAACCGAAGAGAATTTTCATTTGCAACAAGATTTTTAGCGTCACAAGTTAGCCTGTCAAGAGAGTAAAATTTTTGAGATTTTTAACATTGATTTTCGTACATTTATTTGCAGTTGTTCACACTTTACCGTGTTTGTTTTCTGTCAATGGCTCCAGTGGGTTCATCAGCTCCAGTGGCACCAAGAACTACAACGAATGTACTTGGATCATTACTGCACCATCTAACCACACCGTCAAACTGAAATTTATGATATTTAGTCTATCTAATGATCCCCGGTGGAATCAAACAAGGATCCAGGTGCATGACGGAAAAAGGAAAAATGATACCATACTGGGAATTTTTTCAGGGGCAAGACGGCCCTTCATCATACAAGCAAGTGGTCGATTCATGATGGTGGCTTTACAAAAAGACTTTCTCTCCACCCCTTNTGACTATCAGTTGTTTCATTCCTGTGTGAAGTGAGACGTTTTATTACAATATGAGATATGATATATATAGTATCGCTTAGCGTGTTGTTCTACAGGGGAGTATAAAAATATCTATAATTTTTGGAGTATTATTTAAGTAGGTTTAAGCAACTCAAGTTTTATTTGCAGCGTGATATGACATGAGATCGGGACAGCTTAGAAACTTTCTTTATGTTCATTTTCAGAGAAGCCGAGGATAAGGCTACCGTTACCAGTAGTAAAATCTGTGCCAGGACATTATATCTGGTTTCTACTGGAAGGTACTCCACCGATTAACTCGACATTAGTGAATACATCAACACCTTTGAAGGGTGTTTACCTAATAAAAGGGATCGAACTAAATCGGACGGGCAACTACACTCTACTAGCAGAAAATGAAGAAGGAACTGACTCAAAAACGGTTGAAGTAACCTTTCTGGGTAAGGATTCAATGCTGTTAAATTTCATTCAATGTAGATGAGGCATTTTGCAATAAACAACTATTAATAGTAGTTCGCACAAACAGTTGTGTTGACTTCCGTCCTTATCTTATCCGTTGATGATTCAGTTCATTCGGTGAAAAATGAATGTAAAGAGTTTTAGACGACTTGCTTCTGCATGTTCCACCATTGTTTTGAACACGGGTAATTTGTATGAATTAAAGTTTGTAAACAATGAGGATTTACCAAACACTGGAAATTTGGATTTCACCCTCAGGCCTGTAGCCAGAATTTTTTACGGGGAGGTGCGATCCAACGAGGAGACGGACCAAACGTTGCCAGGGGCGCAAGTCTCTGGGGTGGAGAGAATTAGGTTGCCTGAGACTTCATTTGGAGCATTTTGAAAAACTGGGTATTTCTCAAACTTTTGATCTTCAAAAGTAATTTTTTCAAATAGAGTACTTTATTTTACAATTCTTTATAGTGACGTTGATGCTGGACGTCACTATTTAAAAAGAAAAAAAATAGAAAGAAAGTTGTAAGTCCGTACTATTCGCGAGGTTTGATGCATGATGTTTGAATCATGATCTTTTAATAGTGTACCGAGCTCAAAATTTCTTGGGTGTTTGCTAGAAACAGATCAATCAAAGACTTCTTTCAGATCAATGTATGTTACATAGTGGATGCGTTTATTAGTCAGTGGAGAGAGCCTTTGTTGTGCCGCGAATACTACTTTTTGGCCACAGAAAACAGCTGATATTTTAAACTATCCTAAAAGAAAAAGGGCTACACAAAAAAAGGAACAATGCATACCTTAAAGAGAAAAAGGATCCAAGATCCATCCCTTGTAATTGGCAGGAGCCCATCAGTGGCTCCTGTAAGTAGCCTGCGTAGAAAGCGTTTCCGTGCGATTTCGGAGCAAAGAACGAGGACCGAGAGTCAAAGACCGCGCATAAAATTGATGGAGTAAAAGAGCGGGGAGGAGGTGGTCAAAAGAAAAAAAAAGTGGACCTCTGGGCCCTGTAGGCGGGGAGGTGGGAGGGGGGTTGGGAGCGCATCCGTCGCACCCCCCCTCCCTATGGGCCTAACCCTTAATCAATGAGTAAAAATGAAAATTCGTTATTGTCTATTAATACTGTATTAATGTATATACCTGAAAGTACCGCTTTCCTGAAAACTTCCCCTTACCAATTGTATCATTCTTGCGTCTTTCATTTTGCAGATTGCAATCATTTGTGTCACAGTACAGGTTCGATGACAAGTTCCGGCAAAGTTACGAACGAACACAGCTGTAGTAAAAGCAACATAACACATAATTGGAATTGCATTCCAACTACAACCACTAAATTGTAAGTGTATTTCCTTCTTCACCTACGATTAATTGGCCTAATGTTTTCTTGTTTTCAGTATGAACTCTTCTGTTTTAAAATTTCTGTTTTTTTTTGTTGATTTCAATTATCTTTAAAATTGTCATGGTTTTATCCCAGTTTCACACACAAACTACAAAATGCTACAAAATCCCGACCCTGAAAGTAAGAGAATCTTTTGCCAACCACTATGTATTTTTATTTTATTTTAACGTGACAAGATCTAGAGCGCCAGGCAGCTTTCTATTTTTAAGCGCTTTTGAGGCTGACGATGAACCTTGGACTTTCAAATAAGCGCGCATGCAATGCAAAACTTGCCCTTTCTTTTACCATGTGGAAAAAAATTTTCGGCTGCACGCATTCACCTTTTCAAACGTTATCTATAGTATGACCTGCTGCTCGCTATTGAACAAGATACACATGGGCGAATGTTGGGCGACAGATGTCCAAAGAAATGACACGGGTGCATGAAAAACTGGGCGCGGGGAAAATTCACTTTTCCCTAGCTAATGTTAATAATAGCGCAAGATTTAAAAGAAAAATGGCTTAAAACCACGGTTTCTGCTCATTCAAAAACAAAGAAAAAAAACTTGTAAATGAAGCTGCCAACAATTCCGCCCGGGTTAGTGGGCAAGATCGAAAAAAAAAAAACAGCCCGCTCTCGGAACCAGGCAGATTGCAGGATTTGGAGGATTCCGCCCGCTCGCAAGCGTAGAAAAAATTAAATTATTTCTTCTATTTAATCTCCTAAAATAACTAGAATTTGTAAAATAGCCAGAAAAGAAAACATGTAGAATTGTTTTATTTTGCTAGCTCGATGATTTATTTGTGTGATATCTATATGGTTTTCCCACTGGCAAGCGGGTGCCCATTTATATCTTCGCTGATATACTATAAGAGTAAAAGGTTTTTGCATGGATTTAGCCTCAAGCAAGATCGAGAAGCTCCCTCCAGGAATATTCACAAGTTTTTCTTTAATGGAAAGTTGTAAGATAACCAAATGTGTTTTGTTTATTTTATTATTTGAGGATAGGATAGTATACAGCTATCCCCCGAAAGGGGAAACAACGGTGGTGGGTGACGAGAGGCGTCGAGGTATATATCTGGCACTACGCACTTTCCCTTAGAGGGATGATCGTTTAGTATTTCTCAGTTCTTTACTTAGTAAGAGCTTTATTTACGTTTAATTGAGAGTATTTCAGGGGATCTCGTGAAGTGTATTTTTAGGGTTTTGTTACAAATTCTATGACAAAATAATTTTCCACCTATAAGTAAACTGCAACTAGTCAAAATATATCGCTTTTTTGGTATCTGAAGGTAAAGCTGGTTTGTTTGCCGCTAAAATTTCTTTTTTTTTTCTAAATCCCCTCCCAGAAAAGTGAATAGCTAAGGATATTTCAAGTTACGGGAGTTAATCAAAAAGCGCACTGATTTGGTGCATATTAAATTTATGCTCTTATAATCTTCAAACGTCACTCTCCTGAAGATTAGGATACTTCTCATAGCTGCCTGATAAGACAAGGGGAGGTAAATTTTCATCGGCACCCAACAAGAACATAGTTCAAAAACACTTAAACATAGCATTGTTAAACGTATTTTAGTATTTAAACGGTAGATATAGGCATATTTTTATCCCTTAAAAATTTTTCATCTGTTCGGATTTCCTAGCTGAAAGTCTAGGGATCCGAAATTATAGGATAAAAACCTAACTTTTCGAAAATTTAGGCCAGAAAAAAAAAGGCTTCCAAAAATTCTAGGTGACCTTTTTAGGGCAAAAATCCGTTAAAAATGGGCAATTATACCATTTTTTAGGTGTTCGAAAATCTTAGGAGAAGCAGGCAAGCAAGAAATTTTACAACAAATGTTCTAAAAATTCTAGATCTCAAATCGTCTTCCGAACAGATATTTTCCGAAAATTGACGTTGGGTGCCCCTGAATTTTATTCACGAAAAAAGAATGTGAAGGCCTATTAGCTGATGTAGAGTTTTTAGATAGCTTAAAAACGATGGCTTAAAATAAAAGTCCAGGCCGGGCACCGACACGGGCTTCCAATAGAATTTCATAAGGTTTTTTTGGGGTCACGAAAAGCCCTTTTTATTAAATGCCCTCAACTGCAGCTATACAAATGGATATTTATCAATCACGCGGAGAAGAGGACTTGTTACTTTTGTTCCTAAGAAAAACAAACCTGCCAATCTTCTGAAAAACTGGAGACCAATTTTTCTCCTCAACTGTGACTATGAAATCGCAACTAAATCAATTGCTAATCGCATTAAAAAAGTTCCACCGAAGACCAGCAATAACGACCAACCGGGTTTTCTGCAAAATAGAACTATCGGAGAAAATATCAGGATCATAGATAGCATCATCAAGTGTGCAAATACAAAACAAATTCGGGGCCTTCTACTTTTCATTGACTTCGAAAAAGCCTTTGATAACATAAAATGACCCTTTATTGAGAGAACTTTGAAACATTTCAACTTTGGAGCGTCTTTGGTGACGTGGTTTAAATTGTTGACACAAATATAAGCAGTTGTACCCAAAACAATGGTTGGTCTTCTGAGTTTTTTTTTTCTTTGAGTCGAGGAGTGAGGCAGGGGTGCCCGCTCGCCCTCTCTCTGTTTATTCTTTGCGCTATCTTGAGAAATGCCGCAAGGAAAGATGAAATTGTTCATGGCATCAATTTAGCCAAGGTTGAGTGCAAACTCTCACAATATGCTGATGATACCCCAATGATTCTAGACGGATCAGAACTAGTCTCCTTTTTCAGAACCCTTCTTTGCTTGATACTTTCGCAATCTCAGCTGGAGGGCTATAAATTATTGACGTTCAGAGCTTTAATAAATCATTGAAAATTCAATGGTTAAAAGGATATCTAGATGGCAACAATCAGAGGAAGTGGAAATTCTTTGTTGATATTGATAACTACCTCGAGAAACACTGTGGTAAATTGGTGATTTCAGCTAATTTAAAACGGCTAGATATCCATCTACTCATTACAACATTTCAGACCCTTTTGTGGCCAAAACTGTGGAATGCCGGAGTACCTTTTAATTTAAAAATTATAGCGAAGACAACATACATTTCCCCTCCTCCCAGATTTGGCTAAACTCCCCCATTCGAATTGATAATGGACCCTTTTTTTTATAAGTTGTAGGGGTGTGTTGGAGCAATTCGCTTGCTACACGATGACGTACCTAACCAGGAATCTGATTTACATATTGGCCTTTATTCTTCTTTGACTTCTGCTAACAATCTTAATCTTCTACTCTTCTTACTCTTTTCTACTTTTCTACTCTTCTCTACTTACTAGTTCAAGTATAGTTGCGGTTTTCAAAGCCAAAGCTGGACATGTTTGGGTTAGCTGACCAGGAGAGCTATATAGAATATCTTATCGCTTATATTGCAAAAGGTTTCCTGTTGTTAGGGAATAGATTAGCCTACGCACAGCCGCAACTGACAAATACCAAAGAACCAAGGTTAGCTCTAACACCACAAACACGACCACCTGTTAAAAACTAACATCTGACAATGACAAGCGAATAACATTCCTAATATGGCAATAAGTAAATTCGCGAGCTAAGCATAAATTCAAGTACAAGTAAAAACAAAAGATCAAAACGGGAAAACAGTACGTGGACAAAAACACGACTTTATGAAACAAAAACTAAACTTAAAAGATAGGATAGGCCCGTCTTAAAAATGACTTTCAAATACTTCACAACAAAGTCATGGTTTCATGCAGGAGTGAAAGATATTAGGGATTTGCTTGTAGGTTCAAATTATAATTTCCTAATCTAAACTGCATGCCTTTATTACCAAATACAATATAAAGACGAACTATCTAATTAAATATAATGTACTATAAAGTAGTGTCTGCTCTTAAAAAGGAAAAAAAATGTCCCCCCAATCAAAATAACATTTCCTTTGAAAAAGCCGCTGCCGAAATTTCCTTTCGTCCGGGAAAGTTTGCAAAAAAAAAATATCAGATCATTTTCAAAAGAGAGACTTCCTCGCCAGTGAAAAGCCAGGAAAAGTGGTTTTCTGATGTAAAAGTGAACTGGGAAAGCACTTATCAGCTACCATTTCTATTTACTACGGAAACAAAGTTAACGGTATTTCAATTTAAATTTCTGCATAGAAGGAAAGCTACAAACGACTTCCTTCTTAAGATTTGCAAAAATGAAACAGACTCATGTTCTTTTCGCGCTGATTCCCCAGAGACACTTTTTTGGGACTGTAGATCAACTCAGACTTTTTGGAATAACGTTTCTTAGTGGACCTCTGAAAATCTTGATCTGACAAATCTCACTCCCTTCTCACCAGCTCTTTACCTCGGCTTGATTGACAATATATCCAATCTTCTCCTACACCACTTCCTCCTTACACTCAGCTAGTTATGCGCTCCGTGGAAATTGAGAAACAGATTGCTTTCGATAATGATATCTTAGCCTCCCTTAGGAAGAAATGGGCATTTCAAACAATGCCCTCAGAGAAATAAGTTAATCTATACAGCTAAATAAGGTGCATGTGAGAAACGGGCAGATGGGGTAGGGAGGACCAAAAGGCAGGCAACCTTCCTGTGTTTGTTATTGAAGTCGTCTTGTGGACTCTGTCTTTCTATTTTATTTTTCTTTAGTTTTTGTCATTGTAAAATCAGTTATCTGTTTTAATGTAATATGAATTGTAGTAACCGATAATTAGACTTAATTGTAACGAATTGTAAATTTCTGTAATGATCTGTAACTGTTTGTTTATAAAGAATAAAAACAACATTTACCAACTGTTGTCTTTTGTAGTTTTTTTTACGTAACTCTCCAAACACATTTTAACCATTGTCAAATGCTCTATTCGGGATGTAAACATTCTTGCTCGGTTTTTAGACAAATGTGTCCAACCTTTTCTGTGACAGCCAAATTGATGTTTAAATATGTCAAACCTCCACTGCCTTTGAAATGAACTGCTTTCAGA